TTCTAAACGTTCAATCTTGTGTACACCGTCTCTGCTTTGTCTCAGAACTCTCTCAGAGCAGTCTCAGAAACTCTGCCAAAATATTCTGAGCTCTGATGCTTAATGTTGCGTGGTACCACGACACCGTGATCGGGCGACCTGATTGACTTCGCGGAGGACGCAAACAGCACACTAGTCAACAATTCAGACCGCACTTGAACCAACGTCCCTCAGCTTCTCTTTTGACAAAAAGAGGATTAGATGCGCTAGTAAGATTTGCGGAATTATTTGTCCACTTTTCGAAACCGTTTGGGCGGGGGAACAATAAAATCTGAGCTCTACAATAGACCCCTATTCAAATGCCTAACAATTATTATTCTCATTTTATTTGAAGTGTTTTACTATTTAGTAAATAAGTAGTAAATTGGCATATTAACAAGATTACTTCTTTTATATTTTTTTAAAATAGTAGTTTTAAATTGTTTCAAGTAGTTTTACCCTTAGTATTCTGTTTCAACATCAGGTAATAACCATAGTTTTCTGTCTATTTTTCTGTACATGTGATACCTGTGTCTGAATTGCAAAGAGATTTTGCTACGTATGTACCATTTCAGATGATTTATTTATTATTAATTTATTTACAAACCAGCTACATGAAATATTAATTGTTGTTCAACTGCCAATAGGTACCTTAGAAGCAAATTGGGTTGGGAGCTAACCAGAGCAAGAGAATCCAAGTTGCATAACAATGAAGCCCACTTTTTGACAAAGAGTCAACTACTCTTTTACTCGAACCATCTTTTTACTCTCCATGTGATTTGTGTGATTAGAAGAAGTATGTAAAAAATTCAAAACAATTTATTCGACATTAGCCTGAAAGACTGTAATGAAGCCCAGCATCGCAAAAGTTGTTATTTCAAATCTAGCAGAAAACATTTCAACATATTTACAAAAATTAGCAAACTGAAAATATGTTAGTTGAAAATTATTCTGCTCTGTGATGGACGCACTGTAGAATATGAGCTCCGAGAAAAGAAATAGTAATTTGGCTTGACAAAAAGTAGATGCTCTCCTCCTACAGAAAAAATCAAACCTTATTTATATTCACATGTAGGACTACTATGAAAAATTAAAACATAATTGTTACAAACTTTCAGTACAACAAATAAATTATATAGTATTGTACGAGCCATTATAAGTCAGCGGATCAACATCTGGGCTTTACGAAATATGGCTTCTTGTGCGAATGGTAATGTTTTTAAGAAAAATATAATTTCAAGAGGAACGAAATACGTTAAACTGAACGCATTTCTCAACAAAAAATTCTTCTTCTATTTTACATTCATTTGTAACCAAATCTGACTGATATTCTTCTTCAAACGATAAACCTTTAAGCTCTACAAGTGGCAAATATTGAGTGGGTACTCCAAGCAATGCTCTCACTCAAAAGAGAGTAAATTGGCTCCTCCAACTAGGAAGTAATCTGAAAGCATGAATACACACACACTTGTCCCAGACAACTTTCATTTAGGTGCCAGACGAACTCATTACTTCGCATGTCAAGGTACGTAAGCACGCGCGAGACCTCTATAGGAACGGAGCCAAGTCGTCTGGTGTAAACAAGCCATCAGCTGCGTAGATAGAGATCACATTGGCTGAATTGATTCGATTTTATAAAAAAATGAGATTTTAAGACTGTCATTCCGTTATGCGACACATCTGATATCCTTTTCTTAATACCACGACATTGTTTCATAATGCCACTGAAACTAAGATGTCGTGAGGTAAAGTAATTTCTTATTTCAAACATTTGCCAACAAGTACGTATCTATCCAAATCTTTTGATAATATATTAACGTTATAAACTGTTATAACTATGTCATGTATTCATATCAATCTACCCATTTTATTCGACAGGTAACTATTATAACGAAATATTAATACTAACGATTATTATAACGATTATATTATATAACGACAATTTCTTATTTCAGAAATGTCTGCGTAAAGTAAATGAATCATATTGAAGCTAACAGCTGAAATTAATTACATGGAAAATATTTTCAAAAATAGAGCTTAATGAACGATCCAAAATTAATTTATTAATTCGGACACACACTTATGTTTGTGACAATACGGACACACTCGTGACGTTTGTGTTCATGACAAAATTTCATTGATATTAATTGTATTAACGTGTGTGAAAAGGGAAAGAAAATGAGTTGTATTAACGTGTGTGAAAAGGGAAAGAAAATGAGACTTCCCCATGAATTTTCCTCATATTTTGAACGGAAGTTACTGATGACAGAGACTCACCAGCCCCTCGCAAAAGTCGAATTCGAAATTGAAAATTTAGGTTACTCATAGGTGGTTAACCTCACGCATTCTCAACTACCTGTTCCTCTCTTTCGCACCCTTACACTCTTGTCCATTCTCTCTTCCTTTCCTATTCTCTCTCTCTCTCTCTCTCTCTCTCTCTCTCTCTCTCTTTCTCGCCCCTTTCTCTCTCTCGTTCTCTCTTTCACCATTCTCTCTACCCTTCTCTCACTCTCTTTCCTTCTTACTCCTGTCTTTTCCTACTCTCCCTTACCCTATTTTCCTTTCTCTCAAACCTTCCTTTTGTGTTTCCCTTTCCCTCATTTTCTGTCCCACATTCAAATCTAGCGTTCTATCCCTCCCATTTTCTTTCCCAATCTCTCCCATTCTCCCTTTCCCAATATCTCCCATTCTCTCTCACACGTTCTATCTCTTCTATCTTTCTCATATTCTCCCCTTTTCTCTTTCTCCCTTCTTCTCTCTACCTTTCTCACTCCCATTTTCTTTCACCCTATCTCTGGCTCTATCGCTCTTTTCCTATAAGCCTCTCCTCTCACCCTTTTCTTTTACCCCTTTCTCTCTTCTTTTCTCCTTCTCGCCTTTCTATCTTACTTTTCTCTCTAGTTCCTTCTGTCTCACTGTTCTTGTCTCCCTTTTCTTCTCTCTATTTATACTTTCCCGTATGCGTAGTGTATATGGAGTAATATAAGTAGTATAGGGAAAGTTATGTATGCTGCGGATAATCGATTTCGATATTTCAACAGAAATACACGTTTTGGGATCCCCAGATAATGAAAAGGGTTGTTTTTTAAATCGTCCGTCTGTCTGTCTATCAGTCTCTCCGTTTGTAAACACTATTAGAACCTAAATCATTCGTAGGATTTTTTCCAAATTGAAGAAACCCCTGTCCATCTGGCTCGGATCGAAGTTTCGAGATTTTGAAAACCATTCTTTAAAATTTAGGGGAACTTTACATGAAGACCTCCGGACATTTTCAAATTTTTCCCAAAAAAGGCTCCAATTTTTTCTTTAAATTTCTTGTAAGAATGGAGTACCATACATTTATAAAAGTGGCATTGGTCCGATTTTCATGGTTAATTCTGAATTTTCGAAAATTTCAAATGTTTGAATTTTTCGGTGTCTTCCCACAACTACAAAAACGAAGAAAGATATTTTCCTTCAAATTACTTTTTTGTTATCATTAATTAGTTCTATTAAGGTCATGTAATTTTTTTGAAAATTTTATTGCGCAAGATTTGCAATTTTAAAGTTATTCAAAAACAAGATTTTCTCAACAACAGCTCCAATTGTTTTTAAACTTTTGGTAGGTATTGTGCTAATTACACTCTATGACAAACGCCATATTGCTCTATTCTTTTGTTGTTGTTTTTCAAAAATTACAAAAAATGTAATTTTTTGACTTGTCTCTCACGTAGTTAATATTTATACTAGCGGCAATTTCTTCACATTATTATATTTATGAGCACGTGTGCTTTAACCGTTTGCTGTCAAAACTAGCTCAACATTTCGTAATTTCAGAAACACCCGAACGCCATTTTCTCAAAAACCACTCAAAATTTTTTCTTCTAACTTTTTGAAATGATAGTGCTAATTGCACTCTTTAATATGAGATAAAGTTCATTGTGGGGTGTTTTTTCTTCAAACATTACATAAATGTAAATATTTTTTAAACAAATTTCACGTTGTTAACATTCACATTTCCAGCAATTTGTAAACAATACTTTATTTGCGAGTTAAAGTGCTTAAAATAGTTTCTAATGTAATTTTTCGAAAATTTTCTGTGAAAAAGGACTTCAGATTTCGAATTAACAGTAGCGCTTAAGCACCATTTTCTTAAAATTGCCATATAGGACGTGATTTTTCTGTTCTTTAATATTCTGAAAACAATATTTTGATTCTAGTATTAGGAAATTGAAAAAATACGAAAATGTAAAAAAAAGTACTTTGGATGGCGATAGATGGCGATGGCGGCGGCGATGGTGTAACGGTTAGCGTACAGGACTGTTGTACCCAAGTTGGCGGGTTTAAACCCGATCGAAGCCGTGGATTTTTTTAAGGGCGAAACAAATCCTTCGTACGCCTTCCTTCGGAGGGGAAGTAAAGCCGGCTGTCCCATGTTCGTAGATTTACTTGCATGTAAAAGATCCTCAAGAGTAAATGACGCCTCTGAGCTAAATTCAAAATCACCTGTTTCTCGCCCAAGAAGTACCTCCTTTCTCTCCTAGTTGGTGAAAGGAGCGTAGCGAAATTTGCGTGGTCAGACGGAAGAGCGGGCCTGATGGCCTGAGTCTCGCCACGTAAAATAAGGCAAATTCAATTCAATTCAATAGATGGCAGCTGAGAAGAGGATGTGGCAAGTTCGAATAGGAACCGAATAGAACATCAAAGGAAATAGAAAACTAGTACGGGAAAGTCTGTGCCATTCTTGACACCTTTCTGTAGTTGTGTCTCCATCTTTCTTTCTCTTTTCTTTTTACTCAGCCATTTTCTCTCTGTTCGTTTTTCTCTCCCTTTTGTGTTTCTTCCTTTTTCTTCTCCCTCCTCGACGTCGCAAGTTCGAGGTTGCTGGTTGCATGCTCGCAATGTAGCGAGGGTGAGTCTAAAGCATGAGGTTGAACGAATTGGGACTGCAGATAGGGGCGGCCATATGGAGGAACAACGAGTCGTGAGCGATCCGTGCCCGAATGTGGCATCCTAACCAGAACTTAAAAGTAATTTCTCGCGCACTTATTTTCTTTGTGATTTTTTTGTGAACTTTTGGTAATTTTAATTGGAAAAAAATACCTCCAGAGGTATTTATATGTATTCCTAAGTATGTATATCATAAATACTCCTGTTAAACCTGTTTGGCGTCCGCCCTTTGCATGAGGTTCCTGGTAGTCATGAGGACTCGTTTGGGCGCAGGTGGAGGGGAAGGGGATGGTGGGTAAGACCGGGCTTAAGTTTTGCGAGGCCCCCAAGCACAAAATTGTGTTGCCCCCGCAAAAATAGGTCCATCTTCAGTAAATAAAAATGTTAATGCAAGTCCTTTTTGTAAAATACAAACGCAAACTAATAATGTTTATATAAAATTGTACATACATTGAATAGTGTTTTCGCTAGGAAGCGCAGGTGAGCCGATGGCGGGGCAGGGGGAGGAGGAGGACGCGCCGTGCGAGGTGTGCGGGGCGCTGGCCGCGCGCCGCTGCGCCTCCTGTCGCCTCGTCGCCTACTGCGGCCGCCAGCACCAGAAGGAGCACTGGCCGGCGCACAAGGAGCTGTGCCGCCCCTTCCAGGTAACGAGCCAGCAGTCATGCAGCTCTGAACACGCTGCCACTATTGCAGAAGCGCGTTATAAATACACGGGATTCACACCTGCCCCAGGTAAACAGTTGTGGGAAGCGCAGGCGACAAGATTCGGTACCCGTAACTACCACAAACTTGGATTTTTATTTAAACTGCAGAATACTTTATTTATAGCACGGATTCCCAACCCCTTTACTTTTATCGACCCGCTTTTTTTAAAGTTTTGTTCTCCTTACATTAGTACATTCTGCATGCACAATCCTAACACAAAGAATTGCGCACAAATGCCTGAAAGATTTGTACCCCAATAGTTTGGTAGATGTCTATATACTCAATAATAGAAGACGCTTCCGTTTCTAAGTAGCTGAGTTTCTTATCTTCATTGTTGTGCAATGCTTACAAAGTGTTCAGCGTTTTTAACTGATCAGAACATTTCTTCAGTTAGTATTTTTAAAGAAGTATTTTCTTCTGCGATGGAGTGTCGTTGTGAATAGATAGTTATACTATGTAATGAAAAGTATCCGGACACGTAGCTGAAAATGACTTACCAGTTCGTGGCGCCCTCCATCGGTAATGCTCGAATTCAATAGGGTGTCGGCCCACCCTTACCCTTGATGACAGCTTCCACTCTCGCAGGCGTACTTTCAATCAGGTGCTGGAAGGTTTCTTGGGGAATGGCAGCCCATTCGTCATAGAGTGATGCACTGAGGAGAGATATCGGTGCAGTTCGATGAGGCCTGTCACGAAGTCGGTGATCCAAAACATCCCAAAGATGTTCGATAGGATTCAAGTCAGTACTCTGTGCAGGCCAGTACAGGGATGTTATTGTCGTGAAATCACTCCGCCACAGGCTGTGCAGTATGAACAAGTGCTCGATCGTATTGAAAGATGCAGTCGCCATCCCCGTATTTGCTCTTCAACAAAGGGAAGCAAAAAGGTGTTTAAAACATCAACGTACGCCTGTACCGTAATGGTGCCACACAAAACAAGTACTGCAAGCCTCCTCCATGAAAATCATGACCACATCATAACATTTTTGGACGTGTCTGGATACTTTTGATTACACAGTGTATTTGCTGAGTTCTCTAAACATCCTAAGCAGTTGTTTAGTCATATTCTCGGATGTCTCGGCTCAGAAAGTCAAAATGGGTCCCTTCATGCAATATGTGATGAATTAAGAGTTTTAAATACAAGAATATGGCTAGTGCAATGGAGCAAATAAACATGGAATGAGATTTGTTTATTCTTTGCTTCCGCGGATGTCCTTATTATAGCCCCTTTCTCAGGGGGACCGGTCTGATGTACCGGTTAGATCATCCTAACCACGCCCCTGATTCTAATGATGTATTTCGAATACAAAAGAAGATTATCAAATTTTAAAATTGTTATTTGTAGTGTTTCTTTATATCAGAATGGTATCAAATTCTTTAATATTTTTTGCAATAATAGGGACCTTGAATATATCCCTCAATCGCCGGTTCTTATCGAGTATAGGCCGCTAATTGACCCGTTTATCATGACTGCCTTCTTCAAAATTTCATGGAGCCTCTGGAGGGTCGATACCGACCCCGTTGGGACCCCTTATTTCGAATGCAATATTTATTCCCTGCCACTAGGCGTAGCCATCGGCATTCAAAATTACAAAATTACAATTCAAAATTACAAGATGTTGGCTAATGAAAACTCAGTATGATTTATAACTTCCAACCAATAGTTCCATTACACGAATTAGGACAACAGATCCTAATTAATCTGAAATCACAAAAACATTCACGCAGAAATGGTTATTCCTAGTATCGTGTATTGCTCAATCGAACAACTGAAAAAGAACAAGTCCTAATTAAGATGTAACAGGCGAAGGACGGAATCAAATGCTCTAATGTTCCTGCAAGAGTACACGACGCTGGGCGCCACATGTGACAGAGAGAGAGAGAGAGACAGACAGACAGACAGAGAAAAAGAGAAAGAGAACAGAGAATGACCGAAAGAGAGAAAAAGAGAAAGAGCGAGAGAGAGGAGGGAAGAGAGGGTAGTAGAGAGAGACGGCGTGAGGCTTGGCTTGTGCAGGTGCAGGAGTCGGCGTCGCTGGGGCGGCACCTGGTGGCGACGAGGCGCCTGGAGGCGGGGGCGCTGCTGCTGGCGGAGGCGCCGCTGGTGACGGGGCCGCGGCTGCGCGAGCCGGCTGCGCTCTGCCCCGGCTGCCTGCGCGCGCCCGACCCCTCGGGGCTGGCCCGCTGCCCGCGCTGCCTGCTCGCGCTCTGCAGCGCCGCCTGCCCCGCGCTCAAGGCGCACCAGCCCGAGTGCGCGGTGAGTCACCGCACCGTCGCGCCCTCGCCCTCGCCCTACGCCCCGCCACGCTACTGTTCGTCTCGCCTCCACCCGCCTTGTTACGCTCCGCCACCCCTCATCTCGCTCCCTCAGCCTCGCCTCCCTCATCTCGTTCAACTCCAGCCGGGACAACCTTGAGACCCCCGATTGTCTCCCGACATTCCGAGTGGTGTATTACATGTAAATGAAAGTATAGGCCAGGGCTTGCCAACTCAATGCTCAGTGACATCACAAAAATATGCTCTCCTGCTCGGAATCGAGCCGCGGAGAAAAGGTAGTGCCGCGCCAACTGTGTTCCAGTGATGGTACGGAAGTGGGGGGGGGGTAAGGTTTGCTCGATAATTACGTTTTTAAATGGTAATCACTATTTATTTTTTTATGATTCAATAAAATATGAAAAATTAAAAAATGGAACGTGGATTATTTTATAACACACAGCAATATCCGATTTTATTGATCGTACTGTAATGCCACTTCCATTATTTTAACACATAACGTATTTGGAGAAGATAGTTTTAACATTCTAATACAATATTATATAATATAAAAGTTTTGTTCGTCCCAAATAAATCTCACAGACACACAAAATAAAAAATAGTAAATAAGTAAAATATAAAGAACCCAAAAATCCGAATTTGAAGCCAGAATTGCTATACCACCTTCTATATACTTTTTATTGTAATTACGGAAAAAATCAAATTTACAATTTCACGGTTGTTTTTTGCGTTATAAAAAAACTGGAGGTTGATGGCGCAATTCTGGCTTCATAGTTGGATTAAACGCGTCAACATAAATCGAGAATTGTGTGTCACGTTTTTAGGTCTTACAATAACCCCCGAAAACAAAAAAAAGACAATGCCACGTGGGTTTTTTTGCGATTAAAAACCTGGAGTTGATGGCGCAATTCTGTCTTCAGATTCGGATGATTCAGTGCGTTGACATACGTAGAGAAGCATGTATTAAGTATTCAGACGTTTTTATTTTTATTTTATGTGCCTGTGTAGTTAAGGTTAACAAATAGATACCCGCAAGGGATCACGTGGGAGAATTTAGACTCCAGGATTGATTATTTATTCAGTACACCTTTGTTTGAGATTGTTGAAAATCTTCGTGATTTTCAATTCTTTTTCCTTATCTTCTATCTGCAAAATTCCTTTTTTCATTTCATGATTGCGGGATATCTGTAAATTCTCAGAAATTATTTTCATCTCATCGGCAAATGCCCACTGGTTGTCGTCGTCTGTCCCTCCTCCCTTTACTCGCAACGCTTCTCCTAGAAGGGGAATTGCTCTCCGACGCCATTTCTCCGCTAGTTGACAAACGTAGGTGTAGAAGATGAGATAAGGAGGAGGACGGAAAGATCGCGCGCGGTTTGTGGTGTAGGGAACTGCTTTGGCATACGCCTAGGAGTATTTGGAGAAACCACGGATAATTCCATCTAAGCATGTAGCCAGTTTGGGAAATGCCCCAAAACCTCCCGGTCCGAATCGCTGCAGAAACTGAAGCAATGCTGCCCCTGAGCTAAATTCAAGCGGTTCATCGTGTGTAAATCCATTATAAATGCAAGGACCTATCATGAACCGCCTTCACTACCACTATTTGCTACCAGACCCAACAGCATACCAGTCGAGGACTGAGACTGAGGGAGTTTCCATTGGAGGTGATACTTTGCGGTGGAAACTCACAAACTGACATAATCGTGCCTGATTTCACGTTCCAGTGAAGTACGAATACCGCCACCTTCTGACTGTAACATACACTAAAATCACGCACTGATGACCAAATTAATTGACACGTTGCGAAATAAGGAATTTCTCACTCTCGAATAGCATTTGTTTAAACACCATTTATTACAGCGTAACAAAATTAGTTTTAAACTTCATCTGTCCATTATGTTCAACTCTTTGATTTTTAAGAAAAATTATGATAAAAGTTATAGAGCAAGTCATCAAAGTTTTACATTCACGAAACATGAGAAACTTGTTGCAATTTCCTCCAATAAAAAACTGTCGTCTTTCTGAACTCAATGTTATGGAGAAAAGGGTATTCAAGGTTCTGGAATTATTCTTCAGTGAAAGAGTATCCATTGTCAGTAGATTACTGCTCTGAATCAAATAACACATATTTGCCGTCCTATAACTCAACAACTGTATAGGTTGAAAGCTGTTTTATTTTTGCACCAAAGAAATGAAGAGAAATTATTTTCTGTATTTTCCACGGCCTTTCGTTGTGGATCAATAAGTGTCTTTTGCTAGTTCAACGTGAATTCCTTTTTGATTATTTTTCGTTTCCATGGGTGTCTATTCTCACCCGTAGGGGATTAAGGAAAACTATTTTAAAATATCCATCTGCCCTTTCAACCTTGAATTGAGACCAATAACATTCAAACGTTGATCCTCGGGTGATAGTATGATGGCAGTTGCGAGGAGGGTAAAAAAAGCCATTAGACACGTCCGATAAGGCAAGAAAAATCTATCTCTAAAATCAGAAAAAGAGGGCCGTTTGAGGAGGAATTTTACATTTATTCTCATGGTAAAGTTCTGATTGTTTCACTATTGTTTTTTTTTTTTGTTATTTAAGGTCGCATCAACTACTAGGTCATTAGCGACCACTATTGCTTGTAACGGTATGGTAACTGTGGGTTGACACAATAATGATGATGATAGGGGGTGAAAGGACGAAACACGATACAACCATGCCCGAGGCGGGACTCGAACCCGCGATCCTTCGGTCCGAGTTCGCTATGGCCCTACTGCCCTAGCGATCTCGGCCACCGGATCGGCATTTCGCTACTTTGTTTCCGGATGCGACAACTCTTGTAGTCATTAGCCACGTAAGTGTAGTGCGAGTTAAATCGCGAGAGGCGGTGGTGTTCCTCTCCCGCTAGAACGCGAGAAGCAGGGCCGACTTACATATCGGTTTGCTGTGTTTCTCTCTCCAGGTATCTCCGTTACTGGGACACGGCGCCAGCCGGGGCTAGTACTATGCTCCGACTGGTCTGTCGCTATGTGTGGTAGTGTACTGCACGTAAGTTTATTCCTAGGAATGTGTATGAAAACGTGTGAAAGGTGAAAGGTGGGAAGGAAATATCGCACGTGGTCTGTGGCCCGTTTTGTAGGGTACTGCTCCAGTATCTGCAAGGTATTGATCGGTGAAAAAACATAAAGCTACTGATCAGAGCAGCCGACTGCTAGAATTAACCTTCAAACAGTGATTCAGTTTCGACCTAACTATACAGTAAATGTCGAAAATCCGCCCCCTCAATCAAATCATTCGTGTCTTATTGAACGTGACGAGGCTCAGGCGTTCAGGCCTGCTCTTTCACCTGACCACACACATTTTGCTTAGCCCCTTTCCCTCTTCAGCCAGATAGTATCACAGGCTTTCGCTTGGAGGACCTTTTTAGGCTTGAGGATCTTTAAATGCAGTAAATCTACGTCATGGGACAGTTGTCTTTACCTCGCGTCGGATTTCCCCGCCCCCTAAATATGCAAGGCTTCGATCGCGTACCGCGAACCGGGGTGTCCCAGCCCGATACGTTAACCGATACTCGAGTGAGCCGCCGAATCGGCGGGTGTGATGCAGGTGCTGCGGGTGGAGCCGTCGCCGCTGGCGCCGCCGTACGCGCTGCTGACGCCGCTCCGCTGCCTCCTGCTGCAGCGCCGCCACCCGCAGCGCTGGGCGCAGCTGCTGCAGCTGGAGGCGCACCAGGACAAGCGCGGCCCGGGCACCGACGCATACAGGTGAGACACACACACACACAGTTATTCTTGCTCTCCTCCTCTTCCTCTCCTTTACCTCTTCACCCCTTTCCCCCTCTCTCTTCTCATCGTCCTTCTCTTCTCCTCCATCCCCTTCTCAACCTCTCCATCTCTTGCCCCTCCTCCCGGATCTCTCTCTTCCCTGCACTTTCTCTTTCACCTCTCCACCTCTTTTTCATCCTCTCATCTCTCTCTACTCCTTCCTCACTTCTCCCCCTTCTGTGCCTCCTCCTCATTTACCTCTCTATCTCTTCCTCCTCACCCAAAACTCACCCTTCTCCTCCATCTCTTCTTTTCCTTCTTATCCATTTCTTCTTGTCGTCCTCCTCCTCGAATTTGAAACTCTCGTGTTATAGCCTCAGAACTGCTGTAATAATTGTAAGTCGTCCTAACATATATTTTTTGGGGAAAAAAAGAAAATATGAATCACAACTGTTAGTATGTGCTTTGAGAATGCTGAAATAAAATGATTTGCGTTTAATTCTTTATAGTTGATTTCCTCACTATTGTTGAGAAATTCATGAAAATATGAATGAGTGTACAATTATAGTTTTAGAGTTGGAAAGGACTTGATGTATTTTTTTCGAATTCTCTTGAAAACATAAATTTTTATCTTGTTTTTAAGGAGTCTTGTATACAGTTTCATTAAATTGTAAAAACATTTAGTACATTTGTATTAAAAACAATAAGCAAACATTCTTCATTTTAAAATAGAAAATATTGATTTGAAAAAAGTAGCCTAAGTTATTATCAACAAAATATCTCCTTTAATGACACCCAATGAAAATCAATCTGGGAGTTCCGGCTATTTGCCCGACAAAACAGACAAAATTGTAAAAACCGTTGAATTGTTTTTTGTATCATCTAGATATAGAGGGTGAGCTTTGGCTACGAATGGAGAGTCACTTATGTTTAAACGGCACAGCCATCGCAATTTTATTTCCGCCACACTCCAAAGCACTTGAAAAGGCAGGCATGCGCTTAAAGGATGATTGGGCAGGGAGCTGCGCTCGTCGGTGGTGGAGCCGCTGCGCAGCCGCTTCCTCAGCAAGCTGCCCCCGGACGCCCTGCCCGACTGCTCCGAGGCCACGCTGCACCGCGTCTGCGGCATCCTCGACGTCAACGCCATGGAGGTGCGAGCGCTTCCACGGGCCCCGCGGGGAGGCAGAACAAGGGCTGCGGGGCTAGTGGAAAATAAATTATGTATGGGGAAGTAGCCCACGCACGGTTCAACCGTTAGCGAATTACATGCAATCTTATGCAAATCAAACTCAACCTTTCTGATTACTTAGGACTATGTTACAGGTAGTTTAACTATTATATTACATGCCATAATTGCGAGACAGTTACGGCGGGAAACGGAGAAAGGTTGCCGGTGGACGGTGATGGTGAAAGGTGGAAGGAGGAATGGAGGACGGTGGGTAACAGTGGGTCGGGGAGGCGGGACGGGGAGGGAAGGACAGAGAGAGGGGGCTGGGGAGACGAGTAGGAAAGAGGAGGCGGGAAGCATGAGGCGGGGAGGGAGGTCGGAGAGAAGGGGCGGAGAGAGGAGGAGTTTGAGGGAGAAAACAGTGGGGAAGAGCGACGGAGGGATGTGGAGCAAGTGAGTAAGTGTGAGGGCGTGGCGTGGCGTTGCGCAGGTGGCGGCGTGGGCGGGCAGACTGCGTGGCGCTGTACACCAGCCTGCGTGCTCATGGACAATCTGCGTGCCAACACGCGGCACGGTGCTTCGACGTGGACCGGGGCCGCACACCTTCCGCACTGTCGCTGCGCGCGCGGCGCCCCCATGCAGTACTCGCAGCCCCCGCACGTCAGCCGCCCTCCCCGCACTTCGCTCTCTATTTACGGGGCGTTGGGCGTTTTAGTTACTGTGGACCTCGCACACAGGAAGCCTCAAAATAAATGTTGCAAACGTCTAAGGGCACTTAGCGGGGTTCAAGATGATTGAGAACTTTTTCTATTTTAGAATTTAGATCTTTGTACTGATACTCATGTGATTGTTAAACAATTACTCATTTTTGGAACTAATATTTGGCAACTACACCAAATTTTAATGCGCCATAATGAATCCTGCTACTTGCACTAATACATGAACAGTTTAATTCTAATCAGGAAAATATTTTACATCAATTCCGTGGTGGTAGCAGATATCGTGTGGTAAATACATTGTGGTATTTCCTTTACCATATTATTTCACATAACTTCTTTGTATACATTTTGCCGTCACTTGAGAATTAGCAACAAGTAATCTTCGATCCCCTAAGTTGTAACATTTATTCTGAGATACCTATATAATGTAAGAATGATGACTTAAAAAGTTGTTGACTTGCATGTTTTTGGCTTAGTCATGAATAATTGCTTTAAGTGAAGAGATCTGTACTAGCACCTCTCAGTATCTTTATTCTGTGAAAACTAAAACATATTGTGGCGTAATTTCAGATAATCCATTGCCACAACAGTGATAATTGGGTTGTGTGCAATGTGATTACGTCCTTGTTTTTCCGGTTGTAGTGCTGGCTCTACAGCCCTGAAGAAGACCACGATATGTCGAAATGTTGGCACATCAGCGTTCGACGTGGCGTCACCCGTGCAGTCCAGATTATGACTCTGACCACGGAAGCCTACGACATCATTTAAGATACGAACGTGTTCATGTGCTAACAATACTATTCTATTCCAGGAAGCGGAATTGTTTAGGAGCAACTTATCAATAAACGTCTTTATCGACGTTTTCCCATAAGGGCAAGGCGAATGATGGAAGCAAAATCCCGCTTGCGTTTCATTAATTCCCCAGGACGCGCCTAGATAATATTGCAATAAACCTTACTGAGAACGCAACCACTACGGCTACTGTATTAAGGCAAGGGTCTAGACCAGGCATTCCAAGATCATCAAGGCAAGCAGCTAAGTAGAGTTCGCGGGCATTGTGTTTAGAATAGCTGGTGCAGGATTTAAAAGTGATGGTTGAACAAACATCTTCTGTGTGTTGTTATGTCACTGGACACCTACTTCATGAATCTTGCCAAAAAGGCAGACAATTATTTCTCAAATTTAGATAGATTAATTCCCATTTCTTCTTCTAAGAAAATAAATTATCCAATAAAATAAAATAATACATTAGTCAGATTTCAAATTGTCATTCGAGAGTAAAATTAAACGTCAGTCACCAGTGAGCTGCCTGAAAGAACACTGCGAGTATCCAACAGCCACTGGGGATGTCTGCTGCAGTAGCAAACGAAATATTTGGGCACAGAATGTCCGATTGACCGATGCCATCCAGCTCGGTCCCGCTACCTTTTGTGCAGCAGAGAGAAAGTTATGTAATGTTATGCAAAAAACGGCGAATTTTCAGCAGAAAAGCACTTTTTAAAGGGCCCTAGTTACGAAAAAGTGGATAAATCCTGTCGGTTAATAAAAAAAATCCTCTATGATATTGCCCAATCAATCTGCCTGATGTCGCGGCTACTTGAATTTGAAACCGATATTTTTATTTTTGGGGACTCCTTACCCAAAACCCCGGGGATATTTTCTAAATTTAAAAAAAAATGGCTAATAATTTTTAATTACATTTTGTTATATATTTTGAAGGACGTTTAAGAGAATGATGCAGGTCTCATTTCCATTAAAAACTCTTGTTTTTCGAAAATTGCTCGAAAAAAAGTTCAAAATTTGTTAGGAGTATTCCTGCAACTAAAATATTAAAGATAGAGATTGTCTCTTAAAATCTGAGTTCTTTTCGCGTGAAAATACGGGCGAGAAAGTACGTTATGTTTCAGTACCACTAGTTTTAATATTATATCGAGCCGTGAAAGCCTACATTGCTTGAAGGTTTTGTTTGAGCGGCGGGGTGGAGTTGCTTCGCTGAACTCCTGCTGAAGGCGCGTGCGCGTGTGCGCAGGGGCGAGCACGTGAGCACCATGTACACGCACGCGCTGTGGGCGACGCACGCACGCCGCGCGCACCTCCGGGAAACCAAGCACTTCACGTGCACGTGCCGGCGCTGCGCCGACCCCTCCGAGCTGGGCACGTGCCTCGCCGGCCTGCGCTGCCTCGGCGCCCTCGGGTGAGCACGCGCCATCACACGCGTATACACTCACTTACTGGCACATGCACCAACACACGCACAACCACGCTCACAATCGCTCTCGCACTGAGTGAATTGTATTGACCGAGTTTGGTTGAGAAGAGCCAGTCAGATTGCGAGGAGTGAGATTGGTTGTTGTTGTTAAGGGTGATGAGTTAAGCGAGATAGGTTGATATTGAAGGATATTGTTTGAATTGTGCGTTTTGGATTGAGTGCGTTGAGCTAGTTGAGTCGAGTGTTTTGAGCGAGTTATGTTGAGTGCGTTGAGCACGTCTGGCAGAGTGTGTTGAGAGAGTTGTGTTTTTTGCGTTGAGCGAGTTGTGTTAAGCGTGTTGGGATGAGTGCGTGTGTCGTGTTGTGTTGTGTGCGCTGAGTGCGTTGAGCTAAGGGGGTGCGGTGGCGCAGGGACGGGTCGTGCGGGGGCACGCAGCTGCCGGCGGAGCCTCTACGCGACGACACCGAGTGGCGCTGCGACCGCTGCCCTGCCGCGGTGCCGGCCGCCGACGTGGAGGAGCTAGTGGCGCACTTGGGCGACGAGGTGGACGCCGTGCAGGCGGTGAGACTGCCTACCTCTTTCCCTCCTCCTCACTATCCTCCTGCTCCACCTCCTCCTCCTCCTCCTCCTTCTTCTTCTTCTTCTTCTTCTTCTTCTTCTTCTTCTTCTTCTTCTTCTTCTTATTATTATTATTATTATTATTATTATTATTATTATTATTTGCATATCTGTCATTTCTGATCAATCCACACGATTTAACGTGTGTAACTATGGGAATCAGCTTTTCTGCTGTATCCCTTGGTAAGACAAGGGAGTTGCGCCTTGAATTGTGAATTATGAGGTGATGAGATGATGATGAGGGGTGAAGGGACAATCAGAAATATGACCATGCCTACACAGGACTCAACCGTCTGTGCCACGGGACCGGCTTATTATTATTATTATTATTATTATTATTATTATTATTATTATTATTATTATATCGAGACAAAAAAGTAGTAGCTTTTCTTTAAAATTGTCTCAGTTTCTGAAGTTGTGTGACAAAGACAGGTTGATCTTGCTAGTTACGGAGAAGGGAATACATGTTCGCCAAATGTCGCTCTTACCCCTAGGCATAGGAATTAAACAATGCCAAATGTATGTGTGTGTGGGTGGGCGCAGGACCGGCCGACGGCGCCGCAGCTGCAGGCGCTGCTGGACAAGCTGCTGGCGCTGCTGCACCCGCACCACTTCCACGTGTTCGCGGTGCTGCACTCGCTGCTGCAGCTGCTGGGCGACGGCCTCCCCGAGGACCGCCTGCGCTGGAAGGCGGGTGAGTGGAGCGCCACGCCCCTCTCCCTGCATTGACACTGTTAATTAAGCATTGGGGAACTCGTGAACCCTTCTTACTGCTTTCACCGGCATAGGTGACTCACGGAATGAAGTCATGTCATTGCACGGCCTCTGAGTGATTTCAGGGTTCGAATACCGACGATGGTACAATTTGCTGCACAAGCTAGGTATCCAGGTGGAAATCAGTCGCTCTCTGGAGGAGAATTCTAGCGGCCGGCTGCTTTAATCGGTGGCTTTCCGTGGTTTCTTGATCAACACCAGGCTTCGTTGCCTACACCTTGTTTCTCCGATCTATTCCAAGCGAATGCCGGAGAAGTACCCTAATAATCGGACCGCGCGCGATTTTTCCTTCCTCTTCCTTGTCCTATCTTCACCCTTTACTTACACACACTTACATGCACATCACGACCACACATGCCAGGAGATCAATTAAAAGCTGAGAGCTGGGAAGGTGGTGAGAGATACCTGGCTGAGGAAAACCTCGCAAGCCGGCATGTAGGTCTGCATTGGATCTCTCCATTCGGAAGAGGAAGATCACTCCTCTCGCTATGAAAAATGCATTACACCTACGGAACTAATAACCAAAGCGGTTGACGGGCGCGGAAAAATTAATCATTCAATCAATCTTACTGCTTTACGTTTAAATCACAGCATATAGAAGATGTATCATCATTCCAGGATTTTTTCTCCTAAAAATTAAAACTTGCATTGTTTAACAACACAATGAAGATCGAAGTGGCTCAGATTGTTTTAAAGGGATAATTGTAATCATTAGACAGACCCATTCTATTAGTCTAAAATATGTAATGTCCCTGAAAAATTTTCGAAAACTGAATTTTAGTGAACGTTTTCTCAAACAGCTCTAATTCTCATTGAAAATATTATTGTTTGACAGCTCATATGCGTATGAAAAACCTTTTTTTCTGATCTCCAAAAAAAATGCGCCATAATAAAGAAAGGAATTAATAATTTCTTTACCGTTTTGGCCGCACAAACACAGACTCCTGTAGAAAGAGTTTTATTTTTTATTTATTTATTTTTCATTTAGTCTCACAATACGTCACTAATACATTGTGCGCATTTCTAAACCCGAAAGCACAGTTGTAAATTCAGAAGGTTCTTAGGAGTAGCGAAGCCTCAAATTTTTGCGTAGTCATTGAAAGATTAGACAAGAACCCAAACCTTCAGTCGAATAACTTTCTAAAGAGAATTAGAGATAAGACATTCCAAATATTTTTCGTAGGTCTGAAACTCAGAAAAAGCATTAAGAATCAAGATGCTCTGGTTACGCGTTGATTAGTGCGTTTTGCCAGACAAGGCCGAAAACCGCCGAACAGCCGAGATTTTCCCAAGGCGGCGATGAGTAGAAGTACTTGTCGCCGTACGAAAATAAAGGAACTGCTGTGGCCGGTGAAGTTAACCACAGCAACGGCAAGCTCTCAATTCGTCGCGCGATTGGCGATTCCTTTACAATCTTCTCGCTGTTTTTGACTATTTCTCGACTATTTTGTAACTATTATTGTTTAAATACGCTTATATACTGATTAATTACATTGTTCTTCTCTAAATTATTTGAAATACAATACTTGTATTATTTCCGGGACCACCGCCGCATCTATCGATGGCCGGACGCCTCACTACTAGACGTTAGCATAATGTATCCGGGAGACACGAACAATACAATATTTTCATAATACCCACCCCAATCTACCATCAATTCACAGATTATCGTTTTTCGGTGTTGGTATTCCAGAATAAGAGTATTTATTTTTTGGTATTATTTAAAAATATCTTCAGCTTTTTGATTCACTTCAACCCCATCCTTCTGCACGGCATACAAAAAGAGGAATCGTCAAGGAAGTGCTATGCTTAAACTAAGCGTTTGTCAAAAAAAAGAAGAAACTTGTTAATCTCATTAAAAAGAAGTCAATGGTGTGTAATTTCGCCTCAAATGACTCACCGTGTATCATTAAATTCATTTAACATATTATTTTATATTTTCACAAACAATAGTACTTAGTCCCCATATAGTGAATATGCAATTTGTAACCACTTCATGAACTTTTGTTTTTTGATGCCTCATCTGAGAGTGAGAGCCGCAGAGCGTGATTAGTAGAGCTGGAAAGTTTATGCTAGATACAGTCGTGAAATACGTCTACAAATATGCTGCAAAAATATTGAAACACGCTCAAAATCTTACAAAATAGAGCCTTTTATTATAAAACATATTTTGCAATGAAATTCGCATCTGTTTACCTGAATTCGTAAATTACAAATAAATTATTTCTGAATTTTGTACTTCCTCGCCCTTACCTTGTAAGAAGAGAAAGTATAATAATCGTACGCTGGAAAATGGCGATTTGTTTTTTCATTTAGAAGACACACAATCTCAAAATATCTGGTTACGATTTACTCTTCTCTGAAAGTGTCTTGTTCCAAACAATATCTTATTTCTTAAAAGAGTATTGTCCCATATATATATATATATATATATATATATATATATATATATATATATATATATATATACACATATACAGTTTTGCAGGGTAGAAATCACAAATTTATTTGAGGGCATTTTTTAAGACTTTTAGCTCTTAGATTATGAAAATAGCAGGCCCAGTAACTCCTGTTTGCTGCTCATTGCGCAGAGCGCTGCCGGGATCTGCTGGGCGTGTGCCGGGCGCTGGACCCTGCCGGCGCGCGCCTCTCGCTCTACTCCGCCGTGCTGCAGCTGGAGCTGGCCAGGGCCACCAGGGAGCTGGGTGCAAGGTACTGCGCTGCACATGTCTCAGAACACATGTCAGGAACGTATAACTCGATCCAATATAATACCTTTTTGCCAATGAATATGTGATGGGAAATGTATATAACGAAATTACACATGGGACGTTTGCCCTCTGATTGATAGGCAACCCATCGTGCGTTGGTATTTAGGGGATATACGAAATCACTTTGGCAGCCTCTGAATCACTGTGGCCGGCCAAACACCCACGACAGATTGTTTTTCTATGAGACAAGGCAAAATGTCACATCTGTAACTTTGCCGTCTTCCCGCTCGGACGGTGCTGCAACGACCTGGTGTTCTCCTACCACAACCGCCCCCGCGCTGTAGTTTCGTAGCCCCTTGTTAGTTTCGTCCCGTCTACATCCCGCACCGCCCTCTCGTCCTGTCCTGCTCGACCGCACCCTCCGTCACAAGTCAACGCCCAGTAACGACGAAGCCCGGGTGGATTGCCCGGGTGGAAATTGCGTTTAATTGAAGCGCGATCTAGAGAGGAGTTACAACAAAATTAACAGCATAAAAATCTTCTACGTGAAGAAACATTTAGATATGCCACCTTTCATGGAGATTGGTCGTAAATTGTTGGAGTTTATCTATCTCAAACAAACCAATATATGTATATGGATGTTGGTTTGTTTGGTCCCACACCAAAGTCTTTCGAAAAAATGTCTTGTTTATTAGAAATTAAAATTAAAATTCAACATTTTTATTAAAAACTGTAATAATATGTTGTTTTCTCAATATATGTATGTCTTATAAATTGACCTAAAATGTTTATAAAAAACCAACAGACAATATTCTCCTACGAATTTTGTTATATAAACTTAAGAGATGTTCGCGGGATATTTTAAGGTATTGTGATTGTGGGTATTTTAAACTAAGAAAAGGGAGGAATAGAGTTTTAAGGTACAGTGATTGTATGCATTTTATCATGACGATGTGACATTTTTTTAAGGTATTGTGCTTTTTAGTATTGAAAAGCGAGAAGAATGTTAATGCATTGTAATTTTGGGTATTTTAACACAAGTTGAGTGAGGATAAGACGTTGAGAAAAGTTAGCAAGCGACGTGTGTGCAGGGACGGGACGCGGGCGGGCGCCGTGGCAGAGGCCCTGGCCCTCCTGCGCTCTGCCCAGCGCTCCCTGCAGCCAGAGCCCCCGGGCTCCCCCGGCGCCCGCTACAGGCACGTGGTGGAGCAGGAACTGGCCAAGGTGGAAGCCGCTGTCCCCACGCAGTAGCCTCGCAAGGTACGCACACGACGCCCACTGGAGGAAGCAGCCACAGGTGAGGAATGTATCGGAGTATAATATTACAAATTTCTACTGCATGTAGAGTACTCGAAAATGATTATGTATTTTGTCGTTAATCTTGTGTTACATGGAGCAGTTACATGAAATCCCCTTGACAGCAACACAATATTAACTTTATTTTCCTTATTAACATCTCTTTCTTATCTGGCACTACATTTCCCCCCCTTTATTTTCATTTTCATTCTCATTAGTTTACCCCCAACCCGTGGAATTTTTTAATGTATTCAACCCTGAACGCCCATCTTGGTCTTCCTGGGTATAAATTATCACTTAAGGCGTATATTGGAATTCCTTTGACTTGTATACATTTTTACTTTCTCCCTACTACTTACGCAGAGAGCAAGAGGTGCTACATAATGGCACACACTCTCTAGTACTAGTTAGTTTTCCAGTTTCTTTCGCCTCACCTATATTATCGGACTTGCCCGCTCCCCTTTCCAGCTGCCACCTATTGACGGCTAAAGTACATTTTTGTGAAATTTTGTCAATTTTTCGGTTTCCTAAATATAGAACCAAAATATTATTTTAAGATAATAATAGAAGAGAAAAACCTCGCCCTATATGAAATTTTTCGTTGAAAAATTTGGAGCCGTTTTTAAGGAAATGTCATTTAAGCGATAATGTAAATGCAAAGCATTTGTGCGAAGCAAATTTCTTTTACTCAGAATATCTTTTATTTTTCAAGAAGCTTTATTGGGAGTCATTTGATGTACTTTCAAAAATGCAATAGTGTATGTAAATCGTTGGAAATGTACATATTAACGACGCAAGAGATATTTTAAAAATACATTTGCGTAATTTTCGACAAAACACAAGAATACTTCAAAATGATATTCCTTAAGTAGTGCATTTAGCACTATCCGTGCAAAAGTTTGGGAAAAATTGGTGCCGTTCTTCAGAAAATGGGGTTTGAGAGTTTCTAAAATTTCGGAAGTTTGAGCTCATTTTTACAGAAAACTTTTGAGTTTTCGAGAAATCTTATTAAACATAATTTAAAGCACGTACTTGTAATTGCAATAAAGTAAAACAATCGACTCTGATTTACATATTAACGGCGTGAGATAAATATAAAAAAATACATTTGTGTAATTTTTTAACAAAGACATGCAAGAGAAAAAGCAAAATGGGGTTTATATCATTTCATAAAGTACATTTACCACTATTCCTAAATAATGTTTAAAGAAAAAAATTGGAACCGTTTTTGAAAAATTCTTGTTTTTGTTATTTTTATATGTTGCGAAAATTACTAAAGTTTTCAAAAAAGGGCATGATCTTAATGAAAGAACAAATTATGGAAAATAAACTTTATATGAAGAAAAAATTTCTGTCATCAAATATTGTTGATGGAGGAAGACGCAAAAAATCAATATTTTACAATTTTCGAATATTCAAAGTTAACATTGGACCAATGCCATCTTTTTAAGTGTATTTCACGCTATTCTTATTATGAATTTAAAGAAATAATTATAAGCTATCTGTGGAAAAATTAGGTGGATTGATTCAGATGCTAAATTTAGAAAAATATTCTTCTAACACATGGTGTAGCCAGAATGTTTTATAGGACCTTAATACCGAAAAATTGATTGACGTCTGTCTATGAACGCTAGCGGCTAAACCATTGGGATGATTTTCTCCAAAATTGATACGAATTCCCATTCTATCTGGTATTTTAATTTTGGGGGAAACTTTTCATGAAGCCCTTGGGACATTTTCAAAATTTCGATAAAACTGCTCCAATGATTTATATTAAAGTTAATAATGAATTCTGTGAAGGACGTTTAGGAAAGTGGCGCAGGTCTCATGTTTGTTGAAATGTCTGATTTTTCGAAAACAAAATGTTTTCTACGTCTTACAACAACTACAATTATGAAGATATAATTTTGTTCTAAATGGAATGTGCTCTTCAAAAACAGATATTAAAATAAGGCCAAGCTGAATTTTTTCGAAAATATTAATATTTTTGGGTTAATTTACCGTCAAACATAGTCGCCGGTTCTGAATTTACTATACTTGGTGAACGTAAAATGAATGGTGGTGCCAGGCAGTTGTATGCTATGTGAGGTAGAATTTGTATTCTATTTTATATTTCTTTGTTGACTTCCTATATTCGAGCTTCTTTGATAAGTTTAAAATTAATCTTTTAGAAATTATTTAGAACATTTTAAATTGCGTCCTTTAATTGAGTTAAATGTAAAAACGAATAGATGATTTCTTTTTGCTTAATAAGATGAAAGAATGAAGATTAATACATGTAAAAACCGAGTAATTTTGATGAATATAAAAATATATTTAATTATTATATTTCTCTATCCATTTTCATTTCCTTACTAGCGGTATCAACAATGCTGATTCACAAAATGTGTATTCCATTCAAATTAGCGGTCATTGCTGCTTGTTGCAACCCATTGTTGTAATGCCGCACTGATAACTGGGCCATCTTTTGTTCGCGTTAATATAAACTAATAATTGTATTTACGACTCTAATACGCATCGTTGGTACATTTATGTAGAACGTGAATACACAGAATTCAATGGCAGAAAGCTGTTTTCGTTCAAGCATTTGAACTTAAAAAATATACGCATTATTCTCGCTTCGTTTGTTCAAGAATTTTTCAAATAATAGTTAAAGTGTAAGACAGAAATTTTCATATTATAATATTATATAGCCATAAACAATATTGCGGAAAACTTCGGGCACACATAAATTTATATACGTAATGATTTGATGATAAAATCGTGTTTGTATAAGAAGACAACTAGGGTAGCGCATGAATGGCTCAGTGTCGAAGAACTGTGCTACGGTTGTTGTGCCAGGAGTGGTGAATTTGATTCCGATATTTGTATCCATTCTACAGTGGTATAAAATTTACTGAATAACAACATCCTACATTAGTTTTGTCATTGTTATGCATAAAGCACCCAAATTCGATTTCGCGAATCTGGCGAATATTTGATTTTTGAAGAAATTAAAAAATTGATCACTTTTGTACGAAATTAAAAATGTGCATAATGTAGTATGGAGATAAAAATAATAGATCTTAACCTTGCACACATTTTTTTCATAACGATTCAGTTCGCGCGGGGTGCTTGGTCCGCCCTTGCTTTATGGAGATATCTAAAATATTTCACCCAGCAAGATCAAAAACACCAAAACATTATAAATAATTGTTTTATCTTAAAAAAATAAACAGAATGTCTCCAATCTTACGTAGAGCAATCAACATACATAAAAATTAAATGTTAGATAGCAACGCGTAACTACAGTTACCCGCAATTTATTTCAATAGAATTGACATTATATGCACCTAGAGATAACGCTCTGGTAAAATCAGCATCCGTTTGCCATTCTTATCACTTTTGCAAAAGGAAACAATCTGACAAGACGCGGTTTAATGCAGATGTCGTGGCGTATTTTTTCACACGCGAGCAATATTATATTTATTTTTATAGGAATAAATTAATTTTTATATCGAAGAGGCGCCATTTCAATTTACTCTATACTACTACTATTTACCTCCCAATAGGCGTTAAAATTTTATATACGCTCTTTAATGAAATAATTTTAATCTTCATTGTTCAATGTACAGAACGTAGTTTTGAAACACATTGTTAGATAGCGTTGTCGGCGGGCAGGGATATCCATGGCCATCAACCTCTCGGACCAAGACATTTTCGTCG